TAGCTTCAGCAGCCACTAAATCTATGGCGCTTGATATCCGTTCAATAACAGCTCGACCCCACATATCACCACGATATTCAGCCATGTCAAGAATGGAATCTTTGGAACTAATCGTTTGAACTTAAAAAATATCCCTCTTGTCTTTAGGGTTTTTTTTAGTCTCTGAAACTATATCACAATTTCCTCCACAGAACAAGCAATTCATTTTGAAATTGAAAGTTGACACTGATGATCTTAAGGAAACCATCTTTCAAGGTGAGGGGTTCACAGCTGCTAAAATAGAAGATTCACGAGTGTAATCTTTGCAGCAGTTTACATGAACTGAAACTAAAGATATTCCAGATGATTTTTCAGCAATTCCATCTTTGCGCCTTATACTAGTTTGCAGTAGACCTCTTGTGATGGTGACAATATCACCAGGAGGTAAACTTTCACTGCATATGATGCAACACTCTGTTGGATGCATCGTGAAATAAAAATTGTCCGTGGAACTAGCAGGTTGAAATGTGGATATGCTTCAGTATGTCATTGCTAGAGACTATCTTGAAGAGAAAAGATGGAAGAAAGGATAGAAATGTTATGAGCAGCACATGCAATCGATTTCTCACAAACCATCAAATCAAATTGGTCCATCAAACTAGAAACTTTATAAAACTGTTACTGCATTTGCTTCAGTGAATGGTAATACCAGAGGCCTTCTCAAATCACTTGGAAGAGAAAGGTTTGTGGCAAGATATGTATTCCTTACCAACCAAGTAAGCTACACACAATGGAAGCTGTTCAACTTAATTGCTAACTGTTCGTGTTAAACAATTCCCTGACAAAAAGTCAAACACTTGATCACTGCTATGCATCTTAGGACCCCTTAAGTGGAAGATGATAGTTGATGAGCAGTTATGGAAGAAAAGAACAAGTGGTAGTTTACCGCCTCAGGGAATTGTTTCAGCCATTTGTGGGTTTTTGTGAAATAATTGTTGGTTATGTATCAGTACTTTTATAATTGTTGCGATTTTCAATGGAAATGAAATTATAATTTTAAGTAAAGTTATTATATTAAAACTTTCAGATAATGTAATTTTCTGATTAAAATTGATATTTTATACTTATCCTGACTCATGCTCTTTTGCTTGTCTTCTTCTTCTTGCGAACATAGTGGAACACTTGTATCTCCCTAATTGAAGCTCCCTTCAATGTAAAATTACTAATTAGTACTCACCAAGAGTTGCTTCCCTTTCCGAAATGCGCGGGAAAGGAGGCGCCACCTCTTCCCACATGCTTCACTCTCTCCTGTTTTACGAGCCCAACACTTGAGTTTACAGGGAAATCCAAAGTGTTATGTGGGGAGGATGGGAGGGCTTACCTCATGAGTCAGGATAAGTATAAAATATCAATTTTATTCAGAAAATTACATATTTTTCCTTATCCTGACTCATGCTCTTTTGCTTGTAGAATCCTACGGAAATGGAGGTGGGAAACAGAATACTTTGGATTTAAATAATTAGTGATTTATATATGTAATAACCCCCTACGGGAACTTCATAATGGCACTGTAATTAAGATAATTCCTGCTGCTATAATACATAAGTTCTACCAGCTGCCATAGATGGGGGTGCTTCAATATTTAGATAATATGATAATAATAATAATAGTATAAAAGCGACTCCAAAGTGGAGAAGCGACCCAATGTACATGTAACATCAGTACTGGGCTTAAGACTAATGTAGACTTAAGATATGTATATAATTAGCACAAAACTCCGTAGAGTTATAAGCTAGATAATACTAGTATGATATATACAGAATAATCTCGTGAGACTATGTCTCATCGTCTACGAGGACTGTCAACTGCTGTGCGAGGACCATGGGACCGAAATGGTGAATACCTGAGACGTCCTCGGTGGTGATATCTCTCAGATAGTGGTTAGCAAACACCATGTCGGATTTCCAAAAGCAGCCCTCCATAATGGTATTCAACGAGCAATTTCCGTGTAGAACAAGTGTCGAAGCCAGTGCTCTGATTTCATGGGGATTAGATGCTCTTGGAGGGTCGAGTCCTGCAGCCTTGTAGGCACGAAGTATGACAGTTCTGTTCCATATCGATATTGTGGTACGAGAGACTTCGGTCTGAGTTGCTGTCGATAGAAGGATGAATAACCACTTGAGTTGTCGTCGCATCGTTTTGGATCGTTGTAGATAGATTTTGAGTGCTCTCACTGGGCATAATGATAGGTCAAGCGTATCATGAGGTCCGAGAATTGAGGAAAGTGCAGGGACATGGAATAATCTGTCTGGTTGACCTGGCAATTGATTCTTGGCGATAAAGTCCCATCGCAGTCCCATATGCACTATGTTTTGATTGTCATCGAAACGTGTTCTCTCATAATCTAGAGCGTGAATTTCTGACATCCTGGCTGCCGTTGCTAGGGATAACAGGAACAATGTTTTCTGTGTCAGAAATTCAAACGATGTTGATTCCAGTGGTTCATAGGCCTCACTTGTGAGGTGTTGGAGCACTACATTTAGATCCCATGCTGGAGCACGAAATCTCTGTTTCTGATCCTCCAATCGGAATGAACGTAGCAAGGCCAGTAACTCTGGCGTCTTAGTTAACTTGACACCCGTTCTCATAGTTATCACTGAACTTAGAGCTGCGAAATATGTTGACAATGTCGAGGCTTTTAGACGTTTAGTTTGTCGTAGGTAACAAAGGTAGTCAGCCACTTGTGGATGTGTAGCATTTCTAGCTGTAAATCCCTTTTTAACAGCGTATGTCTCAAAACTGTGCCACTAGTCATCATACAAGTTGCGCGTAGAATTGCGTAAAGCAAGCGTGACTGCTTTCGCCGCTCTGGCTGAATAACCTCTCTTGTTTAGACACACTTTAATACAGTCCATACGTGAAGTTGGAATGCTTCTGGGTTTCCGTGCGCTTGTTTGGTGTGAGGATGTACTAGTAGATTCGAGCGCTTTGGGCTTTGGTAGTTGTAGTATTGGTTGTCCGATTTCTTGAATTAGAATGGGAAACCACGTTCTCACTGGCCAGTAGGGCGCGACCAAAATCAGTTGGAGGCTCTGAGTTTGTCTGATTTTCTGTAACGCCTTTGGGATTAGCGCTGGCGGCGGAAACGCGTACACGTTGAGGCCTTCCAAGGATATGCTTAGTGCGTCCATTGCCCACGCTTGTGGATCTGGGACTGGTGATACGAATGTTGTTGGCTGATTGTTGAAGCGAGTGGCGAATAGGTCTACTAGCGGAGCTTCTATTTCCTTGATAATCTGTGCAAAGATTTCTGTATGGAGCATCCATTCTGTCGGTGACGGTAGATGTGGCCGAGAGAGTGCGTCTGCTAGTACATTCTTGGCTCCAGGAATGTGACATGCTCTGACATGTATGTTGAGATCGTCGATTAGATCGAACAGTTGAAAGCATAGAGTCAATAGGTTCAATGATCTCGTTGAGCCTTGTTTGTTTATATAAAACGCCACTGTTGAGTTGTCGGTGTGAATCATTAGATGCGCATTCTGTAGGATGCTCCAATGTAGTAGGGCGTTGATTACTGCTTTCATTTCTAGCATGTTTATGTGCAGCTTGCTCTCTTGCTGGTTCCATAACCCTGATGCTGTCCAGTTGGCGAGATGAGCTCCCCAACCTTGGAGCGACGCGTCTACATAGAGATGGGTTTTGAATTCCGGCTCTGTTAAATAGATGCCTTCGCAGACATTCGACCTCCTGGTCCACCATAGTAGATGAGGTCTGATGTGCTCCGGTAGACTGAATGGTTGAAGGTCGTCGAGATGAGCGTTGATGAGGACCTGTAACGGACGTAACTGTAGTCTGCCTCTGACTGTCATGTCTTGGGCTGACTTGAGGAGACCCAACAGACTCTGCCATTGTCGTAGTGGTAGCGGAGAGAGTAAGGCTTGTGGGATGGTCTGTTGGATCTTGAGCCATCGGTCCTCTGGAATGCGATGATACGGTTCTGTGTCGTGATAAATCGAATGCCTAGAAATTGCAGATCTTGCGTAGGTTCTAGGTCCGACTTGAGTAGATTTACTAACCATCCTAGCTGCGTTAGTAGCTTGATGATGAAGTTTAACTGTAGTTTGAGACGCTGTGGATCTTGATCTACTTGAATCCCGTCGTCGAGGTAGAACGCACTGCGTAGCCCTAAATGATGTAGGTAAGTGACGATAGGTTTCGTTACTCTTGTGAATAACCAGGGGGCCGATGATATTCCAAATGGCAGTACTCTCCATTGGTAATGCAGCCCGTCTAGTGTAAACCGTAGGTATTTCCTGGATTCGGGATGTATCGGGATATGTAGATAAGCATCCTGCAGATCTATACTGGCCATGTAGTCCATGGGACGAACTAGGTGTAGTAGTTGAGGTAGATGTATCATGCGAAACGTTGGCGGTTTGCGTAGATAATCTCTGTTGAACGTGCTCATGTGTCGGAACTTTCCCTTGGAGTTTTTCTTGGGTACTAGGAAAACTGGAGAGTAGAAGCCTGGTTTGATGTTTACTTGATCCAGTACTTCTATGGCCTGCTTGGTTAGGAGAGATGAAACAGCTTCTCGTAACTTTGGTAGTTGTTGAGCCTGGAAGTCGAACTTGTGAGGGTTGACTGTAAGCGGAGGCGTGGCCTGTAGTTGGATTCGATATCCGTGTTGTAGGATGTTGGAGACATATGGATCCTGTAGAATTCCCCAGTTCTCCCAGTGCAGTTGAAGGCGTCCACCCACTTGTGATGGTTGTACTGGAATGGCTGGGGGTGGAAGACTCCAGTCGTTCCGAACCCGTCTTTCATTGTTTATAGTTGCGGGAGCCTCTGGGTGCCCTGCCTCTTCCAGATCCTTCCCTGTAGTTGCCGTATGGGCGACGAAAAGAATCTTTTCCTCCTCTTGAACCGGCCATCTTCCTGTCCTGTGCTTTCTGTAAGCCAGTAAACTTTGATCTTCCTGAATATCTCTGTGATGTCTGCCTGATGACGCTAGCTAGCGTGTCCATCGACTTTATCATAAGGACTTCCCTTGAAACCTTGGTGACTTCTTTAGAGACTTTATCTATTCCTCCAGCGGAGATTGACGGCGTAGACCACAGGGCTGTGTAGAGTGAAGATGTGAACTGTTCACCCCAACTGCAGGAAGCGAGGAGACCTTGACGACGAGCCAGAGTTAGCGCTGCGGAGACTGATGTAAGATGATCCGTTAAAAACTGCTGGTCCTTCTTCTGCATAAGGAGGGCCGAGTATATCATTCTGTCGTCTTCTGATGTAGAATCTCGAAATCTGGTGATGAGAGTTTCATTAATAGTTCTTGATCTGTTAAGGCCGAAGAACATTCTTCTTGTCATGGTTTCGATCTTAACCAGCTTGCGGTCGTCTATCTTGTATGTCTTAGTCTTGGCATCGTTGATGACTTTGAAGTTATCGTCGATTTCTTGTGCCTTGAAAAATGGGTCCATATTATGGGCTGAGAACTTTTTGGCGTTGAACTGTGGTAAGTGCGGCGCCTGGGCTTTAGTGGCTTTATGGAAGGCTGTGTCCAGACTCTGTGGGACCGCTGCTATCGGGTCGATCGGAGGTAGGGTGATCGTGTCTGCGTCGTCCTCCCTCATGAGATAGGTGTTGGCCGGGTTACCATTCTTGGAAGGTGAAGATAGGTCCAGGTTGTTAACCATCCAGTAGCGTATTTCTGCATCGGAGAATATGATGCCTCCATCATCTTCTGTAACGGGATCGCTGATAAGAGGTTGATGCTCTTCCGATGGTGACTGAGGTGGAGTCCTGTATACTTGTACAGCTCTGCAGGGTGACGTCAACGGAGACCTGTCTGGGGACTTCCGTGAAGACTTGTGAGGCGAACGATGTGGTGACCTGTGAGGAGATCGACAAGGTGAACGACGAGGAGATCGACGTGGAGAACGGCGAGGAGATCGACGTGGAGAACGGCCTGACGAGCTGCGTCTGTATGGTGACCTTCGCGGAGATCTATGTGGTGAACGATGATAGCTTCGCGAAGCTCTTGGGGAATCCCTCAATGACCTTCTAGACGAAGATGACTTGGAGCCTGTAACTGGTGCCCTTTGCGAAGACCTTCGCGAAGCTTCATCTGAGTCCGGTCCTGGGGAGTGACGACTTGACCTTCGCGAAGGCTGGGGGTCTGAGTCAGAGTCCGGGGATGAGAGGATCTTCCTTCGCGAACCTCTTCGTGAGCGTTGATCATCGGAGTCCGAGGTAGGTGACGATCTAGGTGTCCTTCGCGAAGGCCTTCGCGAACGCTGAACATCTGGGTCCTTCGCAGAGGTGGGCTGTGACGTCCTTCGCGCAGGTGGGTTCCTCAGCGATGACTTGGTAGCAGCCGCTACGTTGACAGGGGGGTCCCTCTGGGGTGACGTCTACGATGGAGCCTTCGCGAAGGCTCAGGCTCTGGGCTGGTTGTCTCTCCAGTCCGTAGCGGTCTTCCATCATCTTCATAATCTGAAGAACCAGGTCGTCTGGGACGGTCTGCGAAGATGTAGTTGCTGCCCTATCTGCGTTGGTAGCGACGGGACCCTCAGGAAGATCGTCAGACATCAGCGTTGGTACATCAGGCTGCGTGTAGATCTGCGCTGACGTCACTGTTGCCGACACCGGTCGTTTCTTGTGATGCACATCAGGTATGATGATCGGCTGATCATCATACAGGCCCAGTTCTGCGGCGGGAACAATCTCAGCTGAGAAAGTCCTTGTAGACTTCGTCGATTTCCCCTTGGAGGTAGACGCTGCCCTGGGGGTGTGGAGTCTGCGTTGAGTTGAAGTAGAAGTCCTCTTAGTCTTCGGCTGCGACGACGGGATGTCTGGGGATGCAGGACGCTTCTTGGAGACGGCGGACTGCGTCCCACGCCTCTCCTCCGAGGGTAACTCTAGCGGAACACCAGACGGGAGGGGGTCGTCCGACAGCAGTTGACTGGCGAGGGGTTCAGATGTATCAGCCATGGCTAGACTCTGCTTACGTGACCTATCTGCTGCGCGCGTCTCAAAACGCAAAGTAAATATTTGTTAAAAGCAGAATTAGACAAATTATTACAGTAACTGCAACGTGAAGAAAATGAACATGGTGCAGTACAGCTAGGGCATATTAAATGCAGATCAGCAGCAGAAAAACGTAACCTGCAAACAGTACAGATTTTCATCAACGTAAACTACTGAACAATCACGGCGTCCCGTGAATAAACAGCAGAAATACGAATAAATATCAATACATAATGTTGAAGGATACTAGCTAAACCTCTATAGATGACTAAAAGAGGTAACTAAATAAGAATAATCAAAGGATATAGTGTGTAGGGAGACACAGGCGCTCTCACATCCTGCTCACTGGGCGAAGAAGGAGAGAGTGAAGCATGTGGGAAGAGGTGGCGCCTCCTTTCCCGCGCATTTCGGAAAGGGAAGCAACTCTTGGTGAGTACTAATTAGTGATTTTACATTGAAGGGAGCTTCAATTAGGGAGATACAAGTGTTCCACTATGTTCGCAAGAAGAAGACGACAAGCAAAAGAGCATGAGTCAGGATAAGGAAAAATATGTTAAATTTGCCATGAAAGTATCAAAATGTTTACTTATCAGTAACTTTGATGAATATAATGTGATAAGACTCATGCATACTGGTTATTACAAAACAAGGGGAAAGGGGTTGGGGGCATCACAGTTTTCTGGCTGGTATGCAAATCAATGAAATTTCGCATTTTGCCAGTTTCACTTTAAATGTTTAAATGAAATATGTCTTCCTACTATTTGGTACCATTGGATAGATAAATCATAGGGCAATATATTCATGTCTGTATAAGACCAATTAAACTTCATATAAAAAAGTTTCAGGACAAAATTCAGACCCAGGGTAACAATTTCCTTGAAATCTATTTTTAGAACAAAACGGGATGTGCACATGAGGCAAATAATTATTTTCTACTTTTTAAAGTATTTTTATATACGTGCACTATAATCCATTCTATCTGTCAAATTGGATGAGGTTATATTTATAAATTAAGATTTTATGAGCATTTCTGTTTTTAAAACAGGATTTTCTCAGAAGAAAAATTATTGTAGGGTATGCATGTTTGCACGTGCACTGTGGATTTAGGTCAAGTGGGATTTTAGGGGACTTTTAGTATGTTATGCAGGAAGGTACATAGAATATATATGCCAAGTTTCGTTTCTTCATAAAACAATTTCGACCTTGGCCCAAAAAATAGCTAATTTGACTGGCCTAATATACACAGTATTATTAGTACATTCTCACCTTATGTACCTGTTCCAAGGAGGCCTCTGCATGGGACAACTTCTTCACTGTGTCCCTCTGTTCCTGATTGAGTGATTGCATGTCACTTTCAATAGTGGATTTCTTTTTCTCAGAGTTGTTTAGGTCTTCTTGCAATCGTGTTATGGTTTCTGTTAATGTGGCATTTTCTCCCTCTAATGCTGCCCTTGACTGAGAATAAATAAGCAAAAAATGTTTAATTTTGAAATGTATAACAAAGGTTATCTTCCAATTGACAGACACTGCACTAGAAGGTTAATTAGGGTAACACCTACGGGTATAATGGAACAGTCCACTGTCTAGTGAGTAGAGCAGGGTGAGCCTGAAACAGGTTCGTTACTGAGAAGTTTGATTGTGGGTAAATAGAACTTTGTTGTGATTAAATGATAAATGATTTCTCTTCTCAGAATTGATTTTACTATCAATTACTATCGAATATGAAACCAGGTTTGTCACTGAGAGGTTTGATTGTGTTTATTGATAGAAAAAAACAAACTCCCAATAATAGCATATGTACAACAGAAGTTAACTGAGAAAACGTTTTGTTGGAGAGTAATAGATATGTACATATTCGAAAACATTCTGATTTGCAGTAAATGAGACACCTGCATTGCCATGTAAGATACGATTAATACCAATCAGTGTTCTAATTTTAACAATACTTTCTAAAGATTGTAACAGTTTATGTCTTTGAGTAGTATACAGTGGACATTCAAGGAAGTAATGAAATACATTCCCACATCCATGGCCACATTGACATGATGCGTCATATTTTAAATATTTATTCTAAATAAATCCTCATTAAGTGCACTCGTCATATATCTTAATATTGTGTGCAAAACATATAACTTCCTTATTCCATATGAATAATATTTAGGTTCACATTTGTTTTTATTTGATTTATATGACACAACAGTGTCGCAATTTCTAATAGCTAAGCTAATGTTTTCAATATGATGATGCCGACTCCCGTTACACTAGAAGGTTAAACTGGTTATGAAAATAAACTGTTTTTACATTGCAGTCTTTTCATCCATCTTTCAAAATAAAATAATATATTTTCAGTTTGTTCCTGTGTTTTTATTTGGACATTCCATTATAAAGTGTAGGTAACAGGTAGTAGATAATCTGTTCACTGAACCATAAATGTTGTTGTTTTAAGGTTTTGCCCTGAACTATTACAATCAAAGCCCAAGGACACTTGCATCTACGTGCTTTAACATCATAATAGTTCAGGGCAAAACTTTACTTTATTACACTATATATGTGGGTAGAGCCAACCATATTTTTCATTTGATTTGATTGTAGTGCCAATACTCTTTCAGTGAAGCATCTCAGAAAAACACACACACACATACACTCACACACACAACAACAACAACAACAACAACAACAACAACAACAACAACAACAACAACAACAACAACACACACACACACACACACACACACACACACACACACACACACACATCTGTGTTTGTAATACAACATTCTAATTCAACTAAGTATGTAACACGAGTTCTGATTGGTCAATGCTATAAATTTCCGACCGTATAATCAGCATATACGGTCGTAATTTGAAAACCGATTCACCGAAACCTTTGAATGTATCCCTACACTATTTGGGTAACGATGTTTCGCAGGACATTGTCATTTGCAGAAGCCAATGGTCAATTAACTCCCCTATCCAGCTAAAATGGGTGGAATTTGTGTTAAAAAAGACAAAACAGTATCATAAATTTAATTTTAAGTTCAAACAACTTACTCGCAACAGGCTGTTGACCCAACACTGTTAGATCATGAAACAAGGTTTATGACGTCATTATGGAGCGTGACGTCACCTGCTTTGACGTCATTTGACAACAGAACTGATAATGGCCCGTAGTTGAGGAATCAGCAGCGCCATTTCTGTAACTAGAGGGCGGTTTCATCATAATACCGCCCATTTTATCTATAATACTATGATCTATTCATCATTGTCAAATTTATTCTGTGTGCACATAATAAACGTTTGTAGTTTGAAAAGGGAACTACTTTCTCTGGCGATGGTGTACGTTGAAGGAGTGATATGATTAACCTTTGACCTAGAGGAACTTTGACCTGGTTTAAATAATGAATTTCTTTTACGAAAAAACAGCGTAAAACGAGTTGAATTAGAATGGGGATAACTGTACTGTGTTTGACGAATTAGTCGAGTATCGCGGTGGTTATATAGCCGCAAATTTAACGTTATATATAACTAAATTTGCGGCTATATAACCACCGGTATACGTCCCCAATTCGTCAAACATAGTACAGTTATCCCCTAAGTATAGCTTGTGTGGACCAACACCACCTACCTACCTACCTACCTGCTAACAATCCAGTACCTACATACCTACTGACCTACCTGCTAAGAATCCAGTACCTACCTACTTACCTACCCAGCCACCCATCTGGTAGCAATCCAGTATCAAGGCTGCATTGCTGTGTCAAGACCTTTTGACCATGACCCTAAATATGCACTTATGTTATGTACAGTTAAAGTCCAATTTATAAGCTATTACAGCTTGTAAATAGACAGCGAGAAATATTTTCTAAATATTAACCAAATATTTATGATGGTATTGTGATTATTACAACAATGCATGAATTACCATCATCGTTATCCTGTAATTAGTTTTGCAGGTTTTTATCAGCATATGATTCACATCCTTGTTTCCATGTAATCAAATATTTTTCATAAGAAATCAATCAGAGGATCATTAAATACTTGACATAGCTTCATAGCATTTTGTTATTTGTAAAACAATCATATGGTAATGTCCTCATCTAAAGATAAATGTTTAAAATGTGTCAATATCTTGTAAGCATCAGTGTCAATAAGGTGCGTGTCTTGTTAAATTTTTCAAGAGTTTACCATTGACCATAACGTTTTAAGAATTCATCACTCTCAGGATACAGTTATGCAAATTAACCAAAAAATTGAAAATAAATTGTCAGGTGGGAATCCATCGCGTGAGATAGGATAAGTATTAAAATATACAATTTATAGTTTTCATTTTAAATTTTTTAAAACTTATCCTATCTCACGGTTTGTACTTATCCCACACTCAGATGGTTCGCCACAGATTACCCAGTGTCTGTGTGTAGATGACAACCGTGTGATGTGGTGAAGGTGCACAAGGAGGCCTGTTACGAGCACAATCGCCTGATTGGCAACATAACTCCTATACTTGTGATGGGTTGCTTCTTCCAAAACCCATTAGCGTACTCGGCACAACTCCCAGGGAGCGGGCACTCCCGAGTAAATGTGGTTTTAAGGATGGAGCTACAACATGTTTCGACATCTTGCTCCGATTCACAAGAAACTGCAACAGAATTAAAGTCTTGTGACTCTAATCTGGACAATCCTTGCTTCGAAACCATACCCCAGGTCACACTCGCAGTTGAAAAAGAACATGGTCCAGTAAGCTGAACTGATTCAACATTAGGTAGTGGGAAGTGAAGATCATTTCCGATTTCCAGAAACATCCCTCCATAATCAACAACCAGTTGCTGTGGAGAGCCATTATGGATGCTAAGGCCCGAGTCTCATGAGGGTTCGACGCAGCTGGAGGGGGAAGACCAGCAAAAGCGTAAGCCTGTAGGATAGTCGACCTCATCCATAAGGCTGAGGTAGTATGGGAGACTTCCACTGATAAGGCTGTTGACAGCGGGATGAAAAGACCCTTGTGCAGTCTGCAACGGTTTGTGAAGTAGCAATGTAAATTCTCAAAGCTCTAACTGGGCAAAGAGAAAGTTCTTCAGTATGATCTGGCCCAAGTATGGTGGACAATGGCAGGATAGTAAATAGCCTGTCTGGTTGTCCCGGCAGTTGATTCTTCGCTATAAAATCCCAGCGAAGGCCCAGAAAAACTTGGCTGTGTTTCTTCTTCCAATGCATGGAGTTCCGACATACTGATTCAACGTTAGGTAGTGGGTAGGCAAGGCTACCAGGAAGAAGGTCTTGAAGGTGATGTGCTCGAAGTTATGTTCGCTAAAAGTCTGTAGTTTTGGAAACTAGCTGTTGAAAATGATCAACAAATCTAAAGTCAGATGACGGAACTAAGAGCACAATAGACACTGGATTTCAGGCACAGTCGAAATCTTGTTCCCTGTCACCATAGCTATTACAGTATTAATAGCCGCTACGTAAGTATCCAGGGTAGACACCTTCAGCTTCTTAGACAAGTGAAAGTGTTAAAGATATTCGACAATAGCCTGAGCTGAACCTGTACTAGGAGACAGAATGTTATGCACTTTGCTATAAACTTCACAAAATTCCTTCTACTTGTCATCGTTGAGAGATCGAGAAGAAGTATGATGCACTGAGGCAATAGCCAAGGCTACTCTTCTGGAATACCCCCTTGGTGATTAAAGATCTCTCTAAATGCACCAAATGTGAATATGGAACATCTGTGGAGGTCCATGTGGTTGATCTGAGCAAGGGTGGATGAGCTCATTGTCTTGGTTGAGTAGAGCTACTACATAAGCGTTTAGGTTTTCCCACGATATTTGCTAGAGCATCCTGATCCCATACTAGTACGTCTAGGATTGGTGAAACAAATTTGGTAGCTGATTGTTGAATCTGGTCGCGAATAGGTTGACTTGGGAAATAAACTGATTTGAAGATCTGTGGATGTATCATCCACTCAAATGGAGACGGACGTTCTGAACGAGACAGAGCATCGGCAATGACATTCTTTATTCCCGGAATGTGTCTGGTTGAGATTCTTAGGGAATCTATCAGTTGGAAGAATAGCAGCCCCAACCCAGAAGACATGTAGAACCTGTTGATCCAAGATGGTTGATGTACCACACTACTGTTAAGTTGTCAGATTGTATAAGAAGACTAGTCAATTGGAGGATCTGCACCCATCTTATGGCTAAAAGAACTGTCTTGAACTAGAGTTCCTGGATGTAAAGGGACTTCTAGTGACCACAGCACTGCCGCAACATGCTCATGAAGGTGAGCTCCCCAACCTTGGAATGACACACCCACGAACAGGTGATGAGTGGGATTCAACAGCGTCAAACTCCTCCACATACGTTCGATTTGGAGTGGAGATACGGGGGAAGCGATGGAGGTAGATGAATTAGCACATGTGGAACGTCAGCCTTCAGAAACGGCCGCAGGAACATCTGAATCAGTCAAAGCTGGAGCTGACCCCTGGTCATGGGGGCTTGAGCTGACGTAAGTAAGCTGAGAAGTTCTTGCCAATGGCACAGCGACCTCGCTTGAGACAGCACTAGAGGTACCAAGTGTTATATCTTGGCCCATCTGTCTTGGGGAACAAACATCTTGCCGAGATGTGTGTCAAACACAATGAATTGTAGACGTTGTGTTGGGGTCAACTCTGATTTCTTGATATTGACAATCCACTCCAGTTGGTGAAGCAGTTGAGTGGTGAACCGGAGATGTAGACGTAGGATCTGAGGGTCTATTTGGGCTTGAATGCAATCATCAATTTAAGCCTTGAAGACAATGCCTTGGCAATGGAAGAACTGAGTGATGCGCTTCGTAATACGGGTAAATAGTCACGGGGCCATAGAAATGCCAGACAGGAGGACCCTCCACTGATAGTGGATGCCTTGAAAATCGAAGCGCAGAAACTACCGATGATCTGGGAACATTGGGACATGCAGATAATATATGCATCTGGACTGATCATGAAGTCTCCAGCTTCAAGATCGTGTGCATGAAGAGCTACTGAGATCATTCTGAAGTAAAGACTGACTGACTGACTGAGTTTGGTTTTATGCCGCTTTTAGCAATATTCCAGCAACATCACTGCGGGGGACACCAGAAATGGGCTTCACACATTGTACCCATGTGGGGATTCGAACCCAGGTCTTTGGCATGACGAGCCAACGCTTTAACCACTAGGCTACCCCACCGCCCCTCTGAAGTAAAGAGGTGGCTGAAGGTTCTTGGTGTTGAAGACCTTCATATTGAACATGAGGCGAAGTTTGTCCACATCCTTTCTCGGGATGAGAAAAATCGGGCAGTGAAAGCTAGGAGTGTCAGGTGAAGGTCCTGGAGACTCTATGGCTAGTTTGTCCAGTAACGTACCTAGTGTTGTTTGCAGAGCTGTTATCTGTGTCGATGTGTAGGTAAGTCAAACTGGGTCGAAGGTCAGTGGCAGGGATCCTGCAATTGGAAGCTTGCAACCCTGACTGGTGGTTGAGACAACAAAGGGGTCTCCCATAAGAGTCCAATTGCGGGCAACAAATTCCAAGCCATCTGCCTACTGGGGAGTCTAACATTGGAATGACTGGGGGCAGAAGGTCCCAGTCAGTTGAGTTCTTTGGACAGTCACTGTCCAAGACCAGCTCTCCAAGGCCACCGAAGGAGGATCTGTTTTGTTTCTTGTATCTCCCACGATAACTGCTGCCCCATAAGGAGTTCCAAAGATCCAGGTTTGAAGGGACATACTGCGCTGGTCCTTTGTGCTTCATAGATTCCTCAAACGGGAATTTCTGCAATCTCAGGAGTTCCACCGATTCCTGAAATTGATTATCCCTATCCACTTTAGCGCGGTATTCGTGAATGGCACCGCTGAAGAGATAATGGCCTGACCAAGGCTGCTTAAACAGTTCTACTCTGTAATAGTCTTCCCAGGAGACACGATACAAAGGACCCCATCGCCAAATAGCCCTAATGTAGCTCAGGAAATGCATGATCTTGTCCAATACCATCTGGAAGTGTTGACGAATCCACAAAGGGGACTGATGGCCGAATGTGAGAGGTTTGCTGGATCTGAGGGGATCGTCGAATGTGAGAGGTTTGCCGAAAGTGTGAGATTCGCTGAATGTTGAGGGTTCGTCACATATGGGATATTCGCCGAATGTTGGAGGTTTGCCTAAGTTGGATGTATAGGAGAATACGCCTCCGAGGTTTTGGTACACAATGTAAAACCGAGGAGAAGTGTTTTCTTTTACTTATGAAATGTCTAAGAAATTAGTTTAAAGCATTTCGTTATAACGAATCAAGAAAATTGTATAGCGCGAAAGTGGAGAAAGGTTGCTCTGCCACACGAACCGTGTAACTGCACAAGATTTGCTATGAGGTGGGAAGGAACACCGCAGTCTGCAACTGCCACAGATTACAGGGCCACATGTTGACCAGAACAGACGCAGATATTTGCAGTACATGGAGGATGTATCTAAAACCAATCCCGGTTGAGTCAAAGATCGTAAAGCGCAAAAGAAAAAGGTGTGAGGCTATGAAAATAAGGAGAATCCACAAAGATGCTACCTTCACCTATTTGAAAAATACAAGTCACTTTGGTAAGTTTTCTAGATAAGAGTTCTTCCCGTTCCCCCATCCCAAATAATATTCATAAATTAATATATACTAAAATTATTAACAAAACTTAACACAACAATTACTAGAGAACTCACAAAAATGTCTAAAAGTCCAAAATTTAAGTTAGGGTTAGGGTTAGGTTTGGGGTTAATTTTAGAGAGGTTTAGGGTTGGGGGAACTCTTTCCCTTTTTGGAGATTCGGCACTTGAAGTTTGAAATATTCATTTGTTTATATAAAACCTCCATTGTAAACATGTCACACCTGGTGCGTATTATAAGATTTATGATAAATTTCATGAAAACGTTATTTCAAAAACTTGACTCTTAGATAAACTGGAACCAAAAGTCAATTTATCCTCGATATAACTCTTTCATGTGAACACAAATTACTACTGTTTCAGTCCACCCTCTTCAACATGGGCAAACGCTTTTTATTTCACTGCTTTGAAGAAACCAAAGGATGGAAAATGGTATCTGGAATCGCCTATGGGACACAATGTGATAGAAACAACAGTGAAGCGGATATGTGCTGTGGCCAGAATTGGAGGAAAGAAAACGAATCATTCCCTGAGATCAACTGCTGCGACCCGTCTGTACGAGGCCAACATTAGTGAGCAGCAGATCTGTGAGCATACTGGTATGTCTGTCTCTTTTTCCCAAAATACATAGTGCAGGAGGTAATGCCTGTGCAAGGTGTCTGAAAGAAGTCAATGTCAAATCAAGCAGAATCTCTGTTGTGAAAAGTATGGATTATTCAAATTGTGGTTGAAACGTTTACTTACTGAAAAAAAAATGTGCATTCCATTTTCAATAAAAGACAAGAAAAATTGGTGCATTTTGTCAAATTTATTCGGAATTATGTATTAAACTGAAATGTTTCATTCCAGGACACAGAAGTGATGCAGTAAGGCTGTACAAAAGGACAACTGACCAACAAAAGGCGATGGCTTCAGATATTTTGGCCTGCAAAGCTCCAAAAATAGAGAACCCAAAGAAGATATCTCTGCGACAGTGTCTGTTCCCCCTCCTGACTCAGAGCCAAGCACAACAGAAAGTCTTACTCGTGGAAATGTCACAATTTTATTAAAGAAATCTCAAGCATGTTTTGTTTTGTTTAAGCTGGCATACAGTCTATCATACTGTGCCCACTTGCACAAATCGATTGTACGATCAATTGTAGTCCATTCCTTAACATTGACTACAATCGATTGTAGTGCTTCAATTGATTGTAAGTGTTTCGTTTTGTTCATTCCAAGTAAAACCTGGGAAGAGGTTTTACTAGTACTCCGAACGTAAAACCTGGTAATCGTTCCTGGTGGTGGTGAGCATCGAAAAAATAATGAGTTTTGACGGCAGTTATCAAAATTAGTGAGTGAGTGATTTTTTTTACACTGCTTTTAGCAATATTCCAGCAATATCACAGCGAGGGACACCAGAAATTGGCTTCACACATTGTACCCACATGGAGAATCGAACCCGGGTCTTCGGCGTGATGAGCGAACACTGTAACCACTGGGCCATCCCACCGCCGGTTATCAAAATTGGGTTTATAAGGTTTGTCGAAAGTGGAAAGTTGACCACATTTGAAAAGTTTGTCGCATGTGGAAGATTCATCGCATGTGGGAGGTTCGTCTCACCACCAAGGTTCGCCGAACTTGAAGGTTGATTCGGGAGCGGAGTCGGGGCAGCCGAAACATTGAAGTCTGCAGAATGAAGATCGATCAGTGGAGAGTTTGATGCTGGGGGTTCAAGGGATCAGGATACAGAAGTAGAGGGAGACTGATCCTGATGGTTCAATGATTGTATAGCCGAAAATCATCTGGAGATACCTGGCAAAGGTAAGGTGGGGATCGCCGTATCTGGAAGGTTCGATGAAGGTTCGTTACGCCTCCGTGAATGTTGCACCACAACCACCAGTGACGCAAAGGCAGATCTGACATCCGACGTGGTCGCATATCATGAAAGGTGAAACAGACAACCAAGGTTTTCGCTCAAGTAGCAATCAGACGGAGTATCCAAAAAATCCTCATGTTCTGTCATTGAAGAGGACGATCGTCAAGCTTTCTTCATATGCCTGTCTTTTTTGGACTTCTTAGGAGCATATGTACCATGTTCATCCTGTTTAAAATGAGAGTCTCTGACTGTGAGACGCCGGGTCCCTGCTTTCCTATAGATGGAAAAGCTATCATCATCCAGATCTTAACAGTAACTGCCTCTAGACGTCCAGGCACAGGCACTGCCTCTAGACATCCAGACACAGGCCAATGCAATCAATGCATGAAGGGTGAGGATTGGACTTAAAATACACTTTCTTGCATTGTGGACAAGTTTTCCGCTTCCCAAACGAAGAGTTTTCAAATTCACTTCAAGTACAGCACATCTGCACAGCAGCGCGATAGGAAGGTGAGTGACATGATCAACCAGAGGGCATGCTGGATGCTTCACAGAGAATGGCAACAGTGGGGCGTGTTCATGCAAATGGTACAAGAGAGGCCAAAACATTTGTTTACAGTTCGTTTCCACTCAGCTGTCAATCATGAGAGAGAGAGTACAAACCATGAGATAGCATAAGTTTTAACAATCTGAGATTTATAATGACTTGTCCATTATGATAGAAATGTATAAAACATAAAAAGGCCTCAGTTTACTACTTACATAACCAGTGCACAGTGCAATGAAGGAATGGTTTGAGCTCTGCTCCAGAAATGAAACAGACAGGTGGAGGGCATGCAGGTATCTATATATTTCATTCAAAAAGCCAGCATCACAACAAAACAATCATTGTGAAAACTTTACAATTATTCTGTCTTGAAAAAGTCTTTCATTGACTGTATCACCGGAAGTGAACCTCACATTTACACAGTTGTTACTAGCGGCATTGTCTAATAGGAGTATGCCACGCCTACCACGTGACCTTATCTGACTGTCAAAGTAGAGCAGCCAATCGCTGAACAGGTCAGATGTCATCCAGGCTTTGGTATTAAAACAGTAGAGAGCATACACTTCTGGGTTAACACACTGCACTTTATTGCTTTGACTGTATAAACAAGTTAATAGTTAGAACTCAATGGTTCACTCATTGTGAGATAGGCCTACTAATAACAACCAATACCCTGCTGACCGGTCATTAATTAGGATTAGCAGACCTTGTCTTGTGTCAAGACATGTGTGACTCTTGGGCTTCATTTCACACAGTCAGCAAAAGATCAAAGCTTCGTGCGGATAAATGAGTCAAATTTGTGTTGATTTAGCCAGCTGGTTGGTAAAATTTACTGTCCATTGTGGACAGTCACTTTTATAATGTAAGAGATTGGGGTGTTTTAATGAAAATTTGACCAGAATTGAGATTTCCAGATATCTGGGGTCTCACTGTTGTTACGGTTAATAAATTGCTGTGACAAAAGGTTTAATAGTCACCTTTGAACCAGCAAAATAGAACACTCACCAGAGTCTTGACATTTACAGTGAGGGCAGATATACTGAATGAAAGTTATTTACAATGACACATGTAGAATATAGACGAGTATGGTCAGTCTAGAAATGTAGGTCAGACGATATCGATGGCAGATAGATGTACACAACTCCAGTGATATGAAAAGTCTGATGTGATTCCCCGCTGCACAATGCAACAACCAGCCTTTATATAGCTCTTACACAGTTCTCGAGCATTCTAGTAAAGGTGGGCAGCATCACTATCCACTCAGAACATTAGGCTATTGTCTCGAATATACGACCGGGAGTCAAAACAAAATAAAGCCAAGGGAGGCAACTCTAGAGTGCTATCAAAAAGGCATACTGCCAAATATACTACTGCCATTACACATACATATGATGCGAGATGTGACCAACAACCCACACTCAAAACTTTAAACATTGTGATCCATAATAACTATCACTTAATCAATGGTATTACAAATTACAAAAAACACACTCTCATAACACTCTCCCCCTTAAGTTTCTGTTACAATCATAGCAAGATAACAAACATAATAAGATGACATGTAATAATATGAATAACATGGGAAACATCTTGCAGAATTACTATGATATAATGCAGATACAGACATACAGCATCATCAAGTCATTATACATGTTACAACCTGGAAAGTGCATCAGCACAAACATTGTCTTTGCCTTTAATGTGTCTAATCACAAGACTGAACCCTTGCAAGGTCAAACTCCATCTCATAAGTCTTTGATTCTTGTTCTTCATTTTGTGAAGAGAAGTCAAGGGATTGTGATCAGTAAACACTTCAATTGAAAAAGTAGTGGCACCTAGGTACACTTCAAAATGCTGCAAAGCTAGCAAAAGACCTAATGTCTCTTTCTCAATGGTAGAATATAATTTCTTTGATGCTTATCAAACTTCTTGGAAAAATAACAAACTGGGTGTTCAATTCCTGAATCATCCTCTTGAATCAGGACAGCACCTGCACCTGTATCAATTGCATCAATTTGTAACTTAAATGCTTTCTCAAAATTTGGTGCCTGCAATACTGGAGAATTCATGAGTATGGCTTTGACTTTCTCAAATGCAGTCTGACAACTGCTATCCCACTGGAATTTTACCTTTTCCCCCCAAAAGGTTGGGACTGCTTCCGTGGTATTGTGGTTAGAGCGTCCGCCCGGAGTGCGGAAGGTCGCAGGTTCGATCCCTGACCGCGTCATACCAAAAGACGTTAAAATATGGTACTTGTTGGTCCCTGCCTGGTGCTCGGCATTAATGGGTACAACAAGGACTGGTCGGCTCAGAGTCAGTATAATGTGTCTGAGTGGGGTATTCATGCTTCACTGCGGCATGGTATCTCAGTGGGCTAGCACTATAAAACCAGCTTCAGTCTGGGCTAGTACAAGCAGCCGCACATACACATACACACGCATGCACGTCGTCATATGAGCGAAATATTCTCAAGCACGACGTTAAACCCAATTCCACCACCACCACATCATGGTTAACAACATTTGTTTCACCAGGCACATCAGGAAATAAATGAGAGAACTCATGAATCAAATCAGACATTTGAACTTTCTGCTCAGAGGATAAATGTGATAGTTTCTCATCAAGGTGAGCTAACACATCAGAATTTCTTAATTTTGGTGAAACATTATCACTAAGGTCATCAAGCTTCACACTGCTAACACCATCATCAATATAGTCAACATGTTCACCATTATCTTTAGTACAATCAGTAACTTGGGAGAGTGTGGCAATATAATTGACCTGTTTGGTTTCTAACCTGTCATGGTATTTCTTAATCATGTTTACATGACACAACCTCTTTTGCTTACGACGGCCAGGCGTCAGGATGACATAGTCTGTGTCGCTAACCTTTTTGTCAACAACATATTGACCTTGATATCTAGCTCTCAGTGGTTGACCAGGAATGGGAAGTAAGACAAACACTTTCTCACCACAAATGAAAGTTCTCTCTCTTTTGACTTTCTGTCATAATATAACTCAACATCCTCACCCTGCACACTAATAAGCTGCTCTCTAGAAAGAATGTGATCACCACCAAACAAACTATCAGACTTATCAAGAAGACCTGAAGAGTTACTACTCTTTGAAGATAAGTCATCAGCCTCTACCTCACAAAAAGAATGATCCATGAAAGTATCTTACAAATCATAAATGGAATCATTCAGCAAAGAAGTCTTGGAAAATCTGATATTTCCTCATAGCAAGTGTGGCCTCAAGTTTGAAATGTGAAGAAATTTGCAATAAATCTGATTTGTGCAATTCACTGATTGTCTCAGGGTCAGGGGACTTAAGAAACTTCCCAAGTTTAAACACCTTTTTGCTGGTTTCAGAATTAACTTGTTGCAAAATTGCAGAAATTTGAAATAAATTTCACAATAGGTCTCAAATGTCAAATGAATTCTATCTCGGACAAGCCCCCAATTTTGTTATGGTTAATAAATTGCTGTGACAAAAGGTTTAAGAGTCCCCTTTGAACCAGCAAAATAGAACACAGACAAGTCTAAAATATTCAATAATATATTGAGCAAACAATGAGCAAACTACAATGAATGACAATACAGATATCTAGTACAATGCAATTGAGTCACAAATCTAAAATATTGGGTCACAATTCTAAAATATTAACTCACCAGAATCTTGACATTTACAGTGAGAGCAGATATGCTGAATGAAGGTTGTTTACAATGACATATGTTGAATATAGACGAGCAGGGTCAGTCTAGAAATGTAGGTCAGACGATGACGATGGCAGATAGATGTACACAACTCCAATGATATGAAAAGTCTGATGTGATTCCCCGCTGCACAACGCAACAACCAGCCTTTATATAGCTCTTACACAGTTCTCGAGCATTCTAGTAAAGGTGGACAGCATCACTATCCACTCAGAACACTAGGCTATTTTCTCGAACATACGACCGGGAGTCAAAACAAAATAAAGCCAAGGAAGGCAACTCTGGAGCGCTATCAAAAAGGCGTACTGCTAAAAATACTATTGCCATTACACATATATGATGCGAGATGTCACCCACAACCCACACCCATAATAACTATCACTTAATCAATGGTATTACAAATTACAAAAAACACACTCCCGTAACATTGTATTTCGGAAAAAAACACACGAAAAACAAGCCTAATTGTACATAGTACAAATGACACCAAAAATATACCAACTAAAGTACTGTCGGAAATGCTAGAAAAATGCTTTTTGACTTATATTTAAAATTCAGAGGTATTACAGTTACTTAAATAACAAATATCACTTTAAGAAACATCTACCTAATGTAGACCGAGGGAATAAATTTTGAGAATGCCCTAAAATGCGTTTTTACTGATGAAAATACCAAAAACTTAGAAAAATAAGGGGTAGTGGGACGTTATTTGAAACAAACATTAATTGCCCGTGTTACATCATCAGCATGCGCGGTATCGACAGGTGAAATTGACACCAGAGCACACGCTCGGGCGAGGGGTCATCTCAATAGATGTTTTCTTCAAAATGTTGAATATGTGTACGTATAGTATACGTATTGGTTATGTAAGGGATCATTTGTGTATGTGTGTTTGTTGTGAAATAAACATACGAATTACTGTACATTGGAAAGAATCCTATCACTTGTGTTATCTTATCGATTGATTGTAGAAATGTGCAACGTTTTAATAAATGTTTTGCATGTCAACAGTATATTTCATTGCAAAAATATGGATGTAATTCGGTCAGTTTAATCTAGTTGTGAACATTGGCCAAAGATTTAACGAAGTCACTGGTGTAGCTTCTTTAGAATATATATATCATTCTTCTCTTAAAGTTTGTAGACAGCCCGTCTAAGTACTCCCTTGTCAAAGTTGTCAAGGATGGTTTTACGTCCCGGTTTTGCTTTTGAGACGGTCCCTGTCTTGTCTGATTTGTTTACAATATTGTAAACTTGTTGGTAAGACATACCAACAGCTCTGCAAGTTCTGTAATAAACCATTTCTATACTAATGAAAGGTTTACCTCTGTCTTTTTGCAAGCACAAAAAACTTATAAACCTTTGCAACAATCGTCTGCAAATAGTTGGCCATAGTGGACGCTGAAAGATGTGCATGCATGATGGGAAACTTATTTATCAAGACTTAACATTTATATTAATATTTCTTCAATAAAGAAACGATAATTAAGTAAAGTAACACAAACATTCAACATTTATTTGTTTAAGAAAAACGTTAATTTATATTTTCACACCATCTGTATTATTAGCATAAATTTAAAGACTATTTCAGATTTCTGTTGTTGAACTCTGAAAAAATCTTAAGTTGTTGTTTTGGTACCAAATTCTCTCCTGTAAACTGCCCTTTAAATGCATGGGATGTTTAATCAATTGAAATAAAAATTAGGTACACTATAGGTGAGTTGATATATCGACAACATAATACATTTATCACCTTTCTAAAGATATTAAGGCTAAAAAGCATTTTTCTAGCATTTCCGACAGTACTTTAGATGATAATCTTCTTGGCTTGTATTGGAAACTTGCTAGATCTGGATCAATCAATCTGTTTGGCATTCTTGCAATTTTGTGGATTTTTTTTTATCTTACTCACGTTTTCATTTTCCAACTTAATGGACATGATCATGTTGTTTAGCTTTTCCTGGGCATCCAAACTTGCATCCTGTAAAGTAGCTTGTCTGACATTCTCCAGCTGCTGCTTCAGATGTAGGCTCTCATGGTTGGCCTGGCTTAATCTTGCAAAACAGAAGAAATATTCTTGAATGATCCAAAGGCATCTACAGAAAAAAAATAAGTGGTACAGTACTGGGTAAGGACAGACACTTAACAAACTCTGCTCTAATCATTGTAACTTACATATCTTCTGTTTCTATTATTGACAAAATCAATCAATAGTTATCATTTCATGTAATTCTGAAAATACTACCGTCATTACACCACAGAAACAAATTCCCTATTTCAGCTGTCATCACATGAAAAAATCTTTTAGACTTTCAACAGACATCCTCTCCAGTGCCAAACTTTCTATTTCTATTTCCAGTGCCTTTCCATTTCACTGGGCTGCAGCACGAAAGGACCTTCGCTTACGTGTGAGAAATTGAGACTACGAACGAGCTTCGGTATTTTTGCACGGAAAATTGGACAAAATGCCAAGGAAAAATGGAAATTGATACTCCTTCGGAACATGCATGGATTCTTTTGAAAACATACAGCAAAACTACGTCAAAACCTAAGCAAAGTGGCAGAAAATTCCACAGAGAAACTGCAGAACACCCAGGACAAGTACTGATTACAATGGAAAACATTCGGATAAATTGCAGAACACACCCGGAAAACGCTGAACATGCGAGGTGAGGTGGTGAGGTGAGGTTACGGTACTAATCCAGATGGCGGGGAAGAAGTTCGGAAACACTGGAAAAAACTTGAGTATTTTTGTGTTCAGGACGGAAAAAGCACGTATACCCTCGCGTATATGCGTGATCCTTGTAAATCATGTTCGATTTCGGACCAAACGTGTCGGAAATTTCGGTAAAGATCAAAGGATTTTCACCTGAGTCCGCCTATAAAGATGCTGTTTCGACCACAGAAGCTCATGCCACCATGGGAAAGCCTTCTGGAAACAGGGAATACTTGGAACTACTCCACATGGAAAAGCCTACTCAGAAGTTGGATAACTTGGACCTGCTTCACCTGCTGCTGCTGCCACATGAGCACAATGAATTGCAACGAGATATTGGCATCCACAACAGAAGACAAGCAAGACGACCGCATACACTCCCAAATGGTTCTTGGTGCGTCCATGGCTGAGAGTGGAGCGAAGAATTGGTCTTGGTAACTATGACAATCTGATGTAGGAGCTCCGTTTCGAAGACAAACAGTCCTTCTTCAACTATCTTTGGGTGCCACCTAATCTCTTTGACAAGTTGTTGATGATCATGGCTCTTCGACTAACAAAGAAGGAAACCAATTTCTGGACACTCAGTCTTGGCCTGAAACTTGCTGTCACCATACGTCATCTGGCTTCTGGTGACAAATATCCGACTCTGGCATATAACTTCAGGGTATCTAGTCACACCATTGCAAGCTTCCTACCTAAGGTCTGTCAGTCTATCATTGATCACTACAAAGACTAAGTAATACAGTGTCCACATACTGAGCAGGAATGGAGATCACTCATCTGGGATATCCAAGATAATGGAACCTCCCCCATACTCTGGGAGCCTTAGATGTGAAGCACGTCGCCATTAGAAAACCACCATCCTCTGGAAGTCTATACCATAACTACAGGGATTCTTCTCCATCATACTGTTAGCATTGGTAGACGCCAAATACAGGGCTGCAGATTTAATTGTGTCTGAGTGTTGGATGACAACCATGGTGATGTGATGATGGTGCACAAGGAGTCCTGTTATGAGTACAATCGCCTAATTGACTACATAACTCCTACACTTGTGATGGTTTGCTCTTCAAAAAAAAACCTTGGCTTACTCAGCACAAAAACTCCCAGGGAGTGGGCGCTCCCGTGTAAATGTGGTTTCAACTTCCAGCAAGCCCAAGGAATTTAAGTCTTGTGACTCTAATCTGGAAAGCTTGGTGATTGAAGCCTTGGCAGAGCCCAGGCTGTGATGTCAGCGGTGAGACATCCGCCTTTTCCCTTTGTTTACAGCGCATTCATCTACATAACAATGGGGTGATTATTCTTGGTTTGCAATAAATGCAAGATGGGATATTGTGTTCACAGGGGTGTCCCAGTCCATCCAAAAAGAACAAACAAAAGAAACATGGTTAGGAAAATCGAAAGCAAAATTGAGGAAAGATGCTGTGCCAACTAAGATAAAAACAAGAAGACAAAGTCATCAATATCCGCTGCAATGGTAAAATAACCTTCATGAATATGTCAACTAGTTATGACTATGTCAATTGTAACTTGTTCACATTGATCTAACAAAAACTTATATATCAAACTTGTATCAACAACAGACTGCCCGAGTGCTTCTATGGTTTGATGTACCTTAGTAATGTTGATATTGGAAATGGAGTGGTACTGTTGATTTATGTCATTAGATTCTTGTATACCTTTAAAGTGGAAGGAGAGTATTGAAAGGTTTTTAAATTCTGCTTTGGCAAGGAGTACTACCACCAATTTTAGTCGAAGTCAAACTTGTTGCCATGGAAACGCAAACATTATTTTATTCAGAAATCCAAAACTACAGATGTGGCAAGATTGGTGAAGAAACATTGAACAATTTTAAAGTTCTGCATCCCGAAAAGAGCACTACCACCAATTTCAATCAAAGTCTACTTGTTTCCATGGAAACACAGAAAATATTTTATTAAAATATCTAAAACTACCAAAAAGCACCAGTTCGCCACCAGACCTATCTATGTGCAAAGTTTGGTGAAGAATTTTTTTATGTTCTGCTCTGCGAATTTACACAGATGGACGGACGGTGTAAAAAATAATACCCCCTGCAAAAGGAACAATTACATGTATTGTTAGTAATTGTTAGTAAACTTACCTCTGGATTATGGTAGCCTTATTCCTGTGGATTCACAGATACATACAGAAAATCAAATGAAATTTTAAACACTAAGTCATAGCTATTCCTAGTGGTATGCCTATCCTAACCCTGAGTTATCTCCCCTGATCATGACGTCACTGTATTGTTTATCTAGAAGTTGTAGAACCCTTCATAATTTTTCTAAAAAAGAAACAACACACATATAACATCTTCTAAGGATACATCGCGGGGAGGATATTGGATGGGAACTACTCCCCATAATCCAGAGGTAAGTTTACTAACAATTACTAACAATACATGTAATTGTTACTAATTATAACATAAACATTCCCTCTGGATTATGGTAGCCTGAATCCCAAGTAAGGAAGGAGGGGTTACCCTTAGAAGATAATACCCTCTATACAACTAGCTGAAAGTTGATTACTCAACCTCCTATGAATAATTATGACTTAGTCATAGATAAATATAATTATCTCTAGATTTGTCAGTAGAAGTGAGGGAATACATTCCCAGAGATGGTGAGTCTTCTAACTTCCTTCCAAATATGGTTGACAGAATTGATAAAATGATAATCCTAATCCTTAACTAATGATGATTACTTGGTTCCTGACGACTTAACCCGGACTACGATAGTTCCCTTTATTTCTAGCATGATTCTATCTGATCTATCGTAAATCACCATTAAACCAAAATCTCCTTAGATGCTATGATGTCACTTCTGGTGATCTATGACGTCACTTCGGGTCTGATGACGCCACTTCCAGTCTACTGACGTCACTTCCAGTTATATATCGTCTCTTCCAATTCTATGACATCATTTCCCGGTTCCCTGAACCAATCTCTAAGATATGACGTCACTCACCATGAATCTGACGTCTCTATTAAACAAATTAAGTGTCCTCCGTTTCCACCTTGTGATGTCACTTCTGGATATGACGTCACTTCTGGTTCTATGATGTCACTTCCGGTTGAAGCTGTCACTTGGATCTAAGTGTATACCATCAACCATAGCCGGGAAGTTAGAGACTCAGCCCATAATGTGCTCGGTTAGGAGATACCAATGAATGCAATGATTCCTACCGTGGTATCTCCGGCTTGCTGTAGGCTGTGTCTGATCCAATATTGTTTGTTCAATATATTATTGAATATTTTAGACTTGTCTGTGTTCTATTTTGCTGGTTCAAAGGGGACTTTTAAACCTTTTGTCACAGCAAATTATTAACCGTAACATATGCCACATTTCTGGGCTATTCCTTGCCCCTTCATCAGGTGAATTGAAACAAACAAGATACACCAATGAGCATATATACTAAATGTACAAGAAGCCAGTGTTGCATGTATATACAATAAACTGGATAAGAAACAGGAGATGAAAGAGTGAGATGTACAGATAATGGGCATTGTTTATACAAGAGAAGAGTTTATACAAGTGATTAGCAAATGTGGGAAGAAGCCAGTAATGAGCTTATTGACTTCCTAGGCACTGGGGAGGTACACTCCTTGATCCCTGTTCAGCTGCGGTTGTAATTGATAATTTGGTTGATGAGAATAAAGAATTTTTATCATTTGAAGAATTTAAAGAAAGGTACCATACTTCCATTTTTTTTATGGTACTGTTAACAGTATCAAACAATATTTGAAATTTCTTACTTTAGATAGAGGTCAATCTGACACTGTTTTAAATTATAGATGTACCCTGCAGAAGTTGCATAGTCAGAAATCAGGGGCAAAGCATATATATTCTGTACTGATAATGAGCTTCGCAAATCGTACAGCTGCTCCTCGAGCTTGCTGGCTATCAGCGGCTTGACCCGATCGAAATCAATTTTCGAGTCGACGACCATCCGCCAGCCTCGCAGATACTTACCAACAGCGTGCTCTGTGGGCACGAATCTAAGTTAGACCGGCTTGCTGTCTTCCAGCAATGCGATCAGCTTGGCTTTGCAAAGCTAGGAGTACCTGCGCAGCCCGAGCTCTCTGGCTTGGTTTTTCAACTGTTTAACAGTTAATTTAATGTCCAACAGTTGAGATTTTCCGTAATGGCATTTTACTCAAACACCGTCTACCAAACACGTGTTGGTTGCAAATCCCTCTCTGATAGACATCATGTGTATTCCGCAGTACTCTGTCGTGCATTTATTGCTGAAGGTCTTGGCTTTTCCCAGAAGCACGTATTTGCAACGATATGGAGCGTTTCTGGTCTTCGTATGTAT